GATACAGTCATATTTGTCACAGTCACTAACCATTAGGTTGTCTCGTCCCACGGTCCTCACCCAGGCAGATGGCAGTCACCAACTCGACTGAACTGACTGCTGAGAGCACCGAGTCAGGAACTAATCGCCTTCATTCTACAACTTTTGTGTGCGGACCGAAATCGCTCAGGGTTGCACGACAGATCAGTGATTGACGATTGCGAAAAGTACTACCGTTTTTGTCATATCGGTTTTCTGATCCTAGGTCAAACAAACTTTGAACTTGAAACACAAAGCTTTGCGCGGAAAGCGTATTTTATGTTTCAGATTGGCCATGTTTCCCACAGAAGAAGAACCGCATTAGAGGGACATCTCAGTATCCTTAGAAGGCAGCTTAGCACGACGCCGACCATCTTACATAGCGCTGCGGCGAACGGACAGTAGGAACCCAATAGGACACCATTAGAGGGACATCTCAGTATCCTTAGAAGACAGCTTAGTACGATGCAGATCATCCTACATAGCGCTGCGGAGAACTGACAGTAGGAACCTAATGGGACATCTTTTGACCAGATCAGTTCGAAAAGCTAAAGGTTCGCTATGCTCGGCATCACGAGACACTGGTGGGCTAGGCTGAATGTGTGATAGACGGGTAAAAGGCAAACTGGAACGTTTACCCGAAAGAAGATTTGAAATACCGTCTGTAAAAGGCTGTGTTGAAAAGCATTTCACCGACTTGCCCCCTTCCACTTTGGCCAAATGTATCGTCTAGGCTAAAGTACAACGATCTGTTCATTGCCACACCATCGACATTCACATATGGAACATCTTCAAAGTTAGAACGGATAACTCCAGTTCATAGAAGCACAGTTTTTAGGACACAACACACTACTCATTAGGTTGCTGAAAACCCTTTGGTCATCATATACGAGAAATCTAGCTGGATTCAGTTAGGTCTTCTATCAAAACCAAATCTACGCGCAACCGGCAGTATTCATGGAAAAATTTTAGAAATTAGGTAAAGCTGTCGTTCTAACCGACAATGAAAATGCCTGGATGGTCGACCGTATCCGGCATTCAACCGGTTAACATTCCACACTGCCGACAAAAGCAACAATGCCACATGACAGATAATGAGTGAACAACAAGGCTTAATTATTGCTAGCATTGATTGGAGAAACCGGCAAACAACAGTGGTGCATTCTTACACAAAACTCAGGTCACAATAGACCTAAAAGTGTCAAACTAAGGTCGAGAAAACAACGCCTCTTGAGAAGGAAACTATGGCACCTCAGTACTAGCACATACAGTGTGTGATTTTCGATCAAGGGTACAAGAAATAGTCGCGTCAGTAACTGAACAGAGTTATCACTTCCTCTGCATCAATAAAAGACCGGGAAGCACAAATGGAAGCAAGAAACGCAAGCACACACACTCATGCAATCCTAAAAAACAGTTGTACACACAAAAATCACAACCCCAAGCCTCCAAAGTGGCTATTTCCTGGAATTTTTTAATCTGAATTTTTGCGATTTCAAGGCGGATCAAATTTTAATGAGTCTGAACAGTTCAGGTATTGCACCCTTTCGGAGCCTAGCTCTCCTACCACCCGAAGGAAGCGGAAGGGCTGAGATACTGTCCGGTCGCTCAAGCCTAGAGAGGAGGTCGGGTTCGAACTGCAGACTTTGCAGTTTGTAAGATCGCGCCGTAACCACTGAGCTCTCTCAAGCAGACTACTCACACACAGCACCAACTGTTTCAAGTCACTGTGTTACTCCTACTCCGAAAAATGGACTTTCTGACAATGTGAAAAGTTAGTGAAAAACGGGCAATTCTTCGACATGCGCGTGATGGTCGGACCCTTGCGGTCGAGGATTAGAGCTGGGACAGAATACGAACCCCAACAGCATGTGCTGGTAAACAGGAAAGAGCGTACAGTTGTCTGAACAACTGTCTGGTAAACAATAATGATGGGTTCACATTCTAGCAAGAAAGCTGGTTGCGCTAAGATTTGGTCGATGATACCACAAACTATGGTCCGTTCCGAGCTGATCATGTTGCTAGCTTTGCGACAGAGTTGACAGTGTCGTCGAATATGTGAAAGGAGAATGATGTTGTTTCACGGGCGTTCGGTACGGGTAAGGTTTAACTCTGGGTCCAACTTCTTTAGCAGTTAGCGATAGACTTTGCTCACAGAAGCTTGAGTTTCCCGACTCCATCCCGCTGCCACCATCTCTTAGTTGTTCGACTGTTGACGGTCTGACTGTTTCACAACATAACCTCTGGGGGTTTAGCCAAATTGGTAGATTCCCCCCCCCCGATGACTGGAAGCCCAAATCTGTGGTATAGAGACGAGTCTCACTTTGCTCTTCCGAGTAAAGTATTCTAGATTGTCCCCTATGGTGGGATCCAAGAAGAACCATAAGTTCAGTGTAGGTAAAAGCGTCACACAAGCCGGAAGGAGATGGCGTTCATCGAGAAACATCAACCGGCTGAGGTGTATGATCTCTTATCATTTATTTTTCGACTTTCAATGATCCCAATCTTTCACAACCTGCCTGGCTGTACTTTTGCTTAATCGCCCGATTGAAACCATCCGCCAAAAAAGTCTACGGCTCTTGAACAAAGAAGTATGTCGACTGGGAAGGAAGATGCTTATAGGTCAGAGAGACAGACAGCTTATTCGAGTGATCAATCGGAAGTCAACCAGCTCAAGAAAACCAATGTCGGCTATAGTTTTGGCAACATAAACCATCGTGCAGAGCCTCGGGACAGTGAAAAATTCAAAATACATCCTTCCAGTGTTGATCTTGGCATGCTCAACCGTTATTTTCCCAGCCTGTAAAATCCAGCAACTACTTTTAACGTGCTGTGTTGCCATGAACGGCATAACATCACAAAATGTGTTTAAGAACATGCAGCAAGTGGAAGCAGGCCAGCTATCTGTATGAATCCGAACTCCTATCGTCCTTGTTCATTGCTGTGCTAAAATTCCTAGAGAATCAACACCTTTACTGTTTACCACCTGGAGTTTCAATGGAAACATTCCCAACTGTTGGCGAGGAATAACAAAGTCTGGACCAGTCGTTTGTACCTCTCACCTTCCAAATATGTTTGAAGATTTGCTCCTGAGCCGATTGTAAGGCAGACGATTTGAGTGCCGTCAATTTGGCTTCACAAACATGACATTACCACATGCATGGTTGATTTTGCAATTTCAGCATTTGATGCTCGGGTTTCAAACCATTTGTCGTATTTCAGTAGAATGTCAGTTACAAAAAGCTTTGTGCAGTCGGTTCCGGTCCTTATCTCGGCCAGTTTCATTCGTCCAAATATCGAAAACCGCGAGCTGCGTTCATCATGTCTAGACACAGCTGCATTGGTACGCGCGAATAAATATGGGTATCGTTCTGTTGGCAGTTGACCGACTAAAAGGTAGGGGTTAGCTATTGGTAAGTCCATTGGCTCTATACCGCACGCAGCTTATCAGCCAACCTGACCGTTACAACGCGGGTCACACTATCGTGAGGTGGCCTGGTGAGAGGATAGTGGAAATATGCCAGTTCATACTGTCCTGAATCCTTTCCAGTTCCACGCACGGATGAAGCCTGATTGGGGTCGGGCTGAAAATCACTTGAAAATCATAATGAGCGGATCATGTGTAGAATATGGGCTTCTGGGCTAGATCGTCGACCAGCCGGTGTCTTCTCCACGTATGGCATGTGTGCTCATTTCTGACCCACTGTCCAGTGGCCGAAGTGAGATGTCAGACTGTGTGGTTTTGTGCAGGCAGCCGTTTTGTTATTTTTGATAGCCCCAGAGCTAATTCTCAGAGACGCAGACTGTTATCCGGTAAATTCGGTTTTCATCAATTGCACTAAATAATAACGTTCTGTGTGGTATGCAGCGAAATTCGAATACTGAATGTTCTTCTCATGCCTGTTTGGAGGAAGAAAAGAATAAAGGTGGACGGAGAAGATGTTTAGTGCTAGCCTGTCACAACCATTCCGAGTTGCCAACAGCTCCAGACACTCTTCCAGCCAAGCTGGATGGAAACTGACAACAAGAACGCCATGGATATGGATGGATTAGCGGCCATATCTTGCAACACCTCCAACCAGGCATAGTGGGGATCTCACGGCCCCTATCCTGGAAGGAGAGTAGCACCGACCCCAGACGTTTTGTAATCTCTTTTGTACCACTCTGCCAGGCCAAGGGTTGGTCGCCTCTCTGCTTCCGCCACTTTGAATTGGGCATGAAAAATAGCACGCGCTTCGCCAAACGATGGTTTGGCATGCTCATTACCGTCCTCTTCCTTTGGACAGCTACCCATCACTGTCGACAATTCGTCGAAAAATTTGTAGCCCCACATTCCTTCTGGAGGTTGATAAGGTGGCTGTCAATATTTTCGTTCGTCAGAATAAACAATCGAGGTTAAGGAAGACGGACCAGCACCAATCGCATACGGAACAGGGACCGAGATTTCAGAGTGAGGTAACCAGCGGACCAATTTCATGCGAAGAATACCTATCCTAACGCACCCTCAGTCGGAAACGTCTAGTGTGATAACCAGAAACCTGTCCCTCAAATAAACAATCACAGTTCTAGGTGTCAGATCCCTTTTGAAAGCTGTATTAACACAGAGGAAGGAAGTAATTAACCAACTACGCACTGATAATACCTCTCACTTGGTGTCAAGACGGTTGCACGTCAATTGTCAGACTTGGTGAACAAACACCCCTCGATCAAAATATTGAGGGGAGTAAAAATTCGAAAACTCACAAAAGACTTACCCTCAGGAAACACCGGTGTTTTGCCAACCGACTGATAGCTACAGTGACCCAACTACCCTACATTATCCAAGTCAAACATTCTCGACAGGTTTGCGGTGACATCAGATGAATAAAACGAGCGGCCTTGAGAGGTTATGATGAAAAGAGTGTTGTAGCCATCAGTGTCGTCAAATGTTTAGCGTGCGTCCACCGTACACTCTTCTCAACCTCATCGTTAACCGAACTCACCTATTTGTTTATAGAATATCGGTGAGTACAGATTCACCACACGTCCGACAACGAGCAAGGCCACGGAGACGATGACCTTGAATTGCACCACTTTGTTGTCTCGTGGCCATAGGCAAGGGGCCAAAATCTGGAAGCGTCTGCAGTATCTGGTCAGGGGATCGACGGCATGAGAAATATCTTCAGATTGCAAATTATTGTAGATTGCAGTATGATCCTTTGGAAGGGATGGGCCAAGGAGGCCTAAGACAAGCACGCCGATGACCCCGAAGACTTGGACTATCCAGAGGCAAAAGTGTGCAATGTCATCAGGACTGTGAAAAAACGAGAGGGCAGATTACTGGCGTTCAACAAATGCACCCAAGTAAATTCAACAGAATCTAGACTATCTTGCTGAGGTAAGAACACTCTTGTTTACAAGCAGTAAGAATAGCCAAATCCAGGTTTGGTATGCATAAATAAAGTCCCACTGGACTGACAACAAAAACAGTTTTCGCATCATATCCAATTCGCTGGTATATTAGGCGGGAAACACTATACAAACGTTTTTTATAAAGTCCCCAACCTCAAGCCTTCTCGCACTAAATGACATGAATGTTCTCGATCACACAACTAATCGAATGGGAACAAGATTCATAGGTCAGCAAGCAGTGGCTGTGTGCTCGCCAGTCTAATAATCACACTTTATGCGTGGAATAAAACAAAATTGGAGCCTTTTGTACCACGGCAGTCAGCTACCGGTAGGTTGTGTGCGGCAGATTCAGCAATCCTGGGAGATAGATCCAGCGCATTCACTATGGATAATCAAGAATACTGGATTAGTCAACACAAATCAGCAGGCTGCAACTTTGCATATTGCAGGTGCCCCAAGCTACTTTGGTTGCCCCTTTTGCCTTAATTGATAACTATCCGATCAGGTACTGATAAGTATGTCCGCCTTGCCAGTCATACAACCGTGTTTCAAAGGCCCGAGGATGTCTTTCTCTTTGAACGAATAAGAACAGGTTTTGATCAGTATTCTCTCCTTTGGTTTGAATCAAACTATGATGGGTAGCTGTTTCATTCTTGGCAATATATCAAAATCTTGGCGTCTTGGATGCGTTAAACGGCTGTAAATCAGTGGACATCATCACCGCGCTCCGGTGTTGTCCTCAGGACTAATGACGAAACATCTGCAAAAAGATCAACAGATGCCTGATCTACAATGTTCCATCCTTCTTGGTCATTTATGGTTGATCAACAATGCAATTAGCATGGAACTATTCGAATATACACGGATATATTGGTAAAACAACGATACAGCGAACAAGTACTGTTTCTCGTATGTGCGCTACACCCACGGTTCACAACGCATTATATGCACGTCTGGGTCTGAGAGTGAGTCTCGTTTATAGTAACTTATGTAAAGCTTAATTCACAAAACCGAATGACCGATAGAATCAATGCCAGTCCATAAACCCGTAGCCGGTACGTTTACGGACAGCCCGAACAACATCAAATGAATTTTACCCTTGGAAAATATGTTCTTTACAGTTGATGTGTGGATGACAACCCCATCCTAACCGCGGACAAACTTGGTCCTAAAGCAATGCTGGAAATATTTCATCAAGGCCACGTGACTATCTTTGATTCTGTAATCAGAAAGTTAGAAATGAATTGGCATTCTAGACGTCGAAATAGCCAGATGTAGCTAGGAGAACGATGAAAAAGAAGCAAAACTGAACGTGACTATCTTTGATTCTGTAATCAGAACGTCAGAAATGAATTGGCATCCTAGACGTTGAAATAGCCAGATGTAGCTAGGAGAACTATGAAAAAGAAGCAAAACTGGAATGGACATTTCGACAGCTTTACTCGTTGAAACAAACAGAAGAATGTAAACGACGTTTGATAAAGAGAGCAATTAGCATTTTCTCGGACGGATATCTAATTTGTTTTGTGAAAAATCAAGACCGATGTCATACCGACTTATTGGCGCAGATCGGTTTATCCTTCAAAGGTGAGTCTTTAGCCGAATCGGATATCACAGAGCCTCCAACCGGGCACTGTAGCGGTCACTGCAGCAGCAGAAGAAAACTTATGGGTAATCCTCTTGTCTTAAGTATGCGACCGAGAGGTAGTCGGCTGCAGTCTACAACCAGCTTTTATGCATATGGATTAGAATGCCCGTACTGCATCGCTCAGTTGTCTGGTAGAATCCATGACCAGTGTCCAGATTGGTAGACCTGTGGAATTGAAAGTGTTCAACTCCAGTTCAACTGTTTTGCATCTGGTCAACTCCAAACATATTTCCATTCGTACTGGAGTCTATGACGTGATGTGTCAAATCCAAGCAAATTACTCTGAATGTGTCCAGCACCAGAAGCTGCGTTGGTTGGGACATGTGTTACGTATGCCGAGCCATCGTTTGCCGAA